AAAACTTACTTTTATTTACTGTTTAATTAAAAAATAAAATAGATATTATTAAAAATATATTACTTTTTATTTTTAAATATTATTAAAATATATTATTTTTTATATATTAAAAATATATTACTTTTAAGAATATATTATTTTTTATATATAATTTAAAAATATATTATTTTATTTTTATATATTATTAAAATATATTATTTTTATATTATTAAACAATATATTATTCTATTTTTATATATTATTCAAAATATATTATTAAAAATAGTTTATTTTATTTTTATATATTATTAAAAAAACATTTATAATTTATTAAAAGTATATTATTTTTAAAAAAAGCTTTTATTTATTTTTATAATAAAAAATAATAATGTCATTCCATTCCAGCCTTATTCATTCTGCATAGTGCATACCAAACGCATCAATGACAAAACATGTTTCATTCCATTCCCATAATCATTCCATTCTTCAATTCATTCCATCCCTACCAAATTTCATTCCATCATACCAATCATGCCATTAAGGATTTAACGCCTTTGGTAGTTTGCAGTCCACTGGTGCTGTGTTTACTGAGGCTATGTTTGGTAAAACTAGTTGATAAGCTAGCTGATAGCTGATAAGCTAGCTGATAGCTTATATGTAATTTTTGAGCTTATAGCTTATAGTTTATGACTTATAGCTGAAAAGCTAGCTTATATGATAAAAGTGTTTGATAAAATTAGCTGATAAGCTAGTTGAAATAAAAAAATTTAACTAGCTTATTTGAAAAGCTACCTAAAGTAGCTTATGAGATAAACTCGAGCTTTTAAAAAACGTTCGTCCTACCAAACGAGGCTTATTTGTATCCAGGGAGCTTATAAGCTAACCAAATAAGCTATAAGTTAGATTATTTGACTTACCAAGTATCAAATGTTGACTGAATCTTTGTTGTATTGCTATGTTGGAGATTTTTATTTTATTTTAGTTTCATTTGTCTACATTGTTCAACTTCAAGAAAATGGGCCTTGCATCAATTGCTTTCCACAAATCGCGAACAACGCAGCGAATACATNAAAAAAAAAAAAAAAATCCACGACCAAAAAAAAGAAATCGCGGCCAACAAAGAAGAAATCGTGACTAACCCATCACAAATTGAGAGAGAATCGCGAGCAATAACAGATCTCGACTTGCGCGACAAGGACTAAGGGAAGGAGAGCCGCGAATTGAGAAATTCATGAATGAAATCACAATCACGAGCTAGGAGGAAATCCGTGAGTGAAATCGCAATTGCGAATTGGAAGGAATTTGTGTGAAAACATGAGAAATCGCGAGAAGAAAATCGCGAGAGGGGGAGAGTCAGAAAAGACGACTCTCAAGATAACTCGACCGATTCACGTGGAAAACGAGAAGGAAAAAAAGAAACGAGGAAAAAAGACGACTCTCGAATATAACTCGACTCTCAAACTATTTGGGCCTATGTGAGTTGGGCCTAAATTCCCTATGAGTGAAAACAAGGTACATTTGTACCCTTGGTCAAATCTTCATTATATCGAGCATATGCTAAAACTCGACCAATTTTGAGCCCTTGGATTAGAAACAAGTCTACGGATAAAAATAGACTAAGGATTACAAAGCGACAAACGTTCTTCTAAATACTGCAAACTCTGATAAATTCCGAAATTTCCAGACTATTGTCCTTACTCTATAGCTCGAGTCGCAATAGAGTTAGTTCGGGGGGGCTAGTTATTATTAAATATATGATAGACAAAATTAATAACTAGACATCATACTTTATGACAAAAAGTACCATATATCAAAAGGAACCTTTCTGTCAAAGGATATCATCGGTTTTAAAAGGTCCATGGGCTCATCATTTTACTATTACTGAATCGTACACCATCTCTAAAGAGAAAGTAAAAGAGCCTAGAAGATCTTGACCGAAGAAAACAAAAGTAAAATGCCCAGAAGCCTTTACCATATTGTTTTCTACAAGTTCTTCAAATAACTCAAATACACACAAACAATGACTGGAGGTATATAATCACGATCATTCCGCTACACCGCTATATGATTAAATTGAATAAATATACTTACAGTTAGCTGTTTGTAAATATGTGTTTATTAATATTTTCTGCCGTTTAGGAAAAAAAAAAAAAAACTATATCAAGTTATTTCATCATTAAATTTTTTTTCGAAAACATAGGACCAACTAAACAGTGGGACACCGCTCTGTCACTTCTGTTTAATCCAGAGATAAAAATATTTAGGAGAAAAAGAAAAACACTTGCTTTCGATTTATGCTGTATCTAATAAATCAACTCCAATTTCTTGTACTTGATTTTTTCCTTCTGCATATGCAACTATTAGCTTGAACTTGATGATAACAAATCACCCACGGCATTTGCCTCAAAGCCAGATCCACCTGAGAAAGGCAGCTTTCTTATTCAGAGACAGAAAAGAATGCAAACATCATGCTTGCCAAGCAGACATTTTGGTAAAGCTCAGGAAAATTCAAATGCATTACAGAAAAAGACAGCATTATATCAACGCTCGCACATTATTAGGGGTACAAAGCAAGAATCGTGCGTACACTGCAATTTCATTATTTGGATTAGGGGTTCTATATAGACAGGTCCACAGAAATTTGCAAGGAAATTGTATTATAATCATATGAGCCTTTGGAGTAGACTGTTTATTTCTAAAACCGAGTGACGAAAATCAATTAATCCGACTTTACTCAAAATTAAGCAAACAAAAACGAAAATTTTTAGTTAATAATTAATTTGATACCAATCTCTATAAAATACGACTTTGCTCACTACTTCCTACAAACTACTCTATACACTTGCAGGGAATTCAAAATTAAGCAAACAGAAACGAAACAGACAAGGAAAAACCATCAACAGCACCTGTGAGTGATTTGGACCACATGAACCAGGATACGAAGAAATCCAGATGGTGAATACCCTTGTAGAGGGCAGCCTTGTGGGACCCACAGGTATGGTGGGTGGGGGTGAGAACACAACCATAACCCCCATTAGTTGTCCAAATAGTAATAAGATCCAGCAGATTTCTGCTCTCTGTCCTTAGTCGACTCCAGTTTGTTAATCCGTGGACGGTAGTTTGTGGGGTCCCGTCTGAACGTAATATCCAGATGCTACATGCACAAATGAAAATGCATCAGTAATATAAGATTTACAAGAAACATCCCATAAAAGATCAGACCCTGTGACAGCCAAGGAAAAAAAAAAAAACAGGTGAGATAGGCTTACGGATAGAAATAGGTTCATCCCGGTCAAAAGTGACTGTGGTGAAGTGGCCTTGCAATCTATAGATGGCTTCCCCTCAAACACAATCACTCGATCTGCTAGGTACGTGGCCATTATGAAATCATGCTCGACAACAAATGCAGTCTTTTTTGCGTGGAGTATGAACCTCTTTATGACTTTTGAAGCAACTATACGCTGCTCTGAGTCGAGATACGCACTTGGTTCATCTATTAAATATATATCTGCAGGCTGCAAGCCAAAAAAAATAAAAATAAGCAAAAAGAATTTTTTCAAGCATGAAAATTAACAGAAACTATGGAGAGAATCTTTGAAGATTCTGGACTGAAAGGTGACATCCAAAATATAATAAGCTGGTTCAGAATAAACATATTACTCAACAACAATGCCACTAAAGGATATACTAATAGAGTGTATATGAAGAAAATGCGAACCTTTCCAAGGCAAAGGGCGAGAGCAACTCTCTGTAAC